CGTCAACATTTTGTAACTTTTTTAGCACCAAACTATGACCAACGTTTTCCAGTAGTCATCGCATGCAAATCGTCGCAAAACTTTACTGGTGTTACCAGACCTTTCTTCTGTTCGTAAATTCGAGAATTTAGTTTACAATTCATATTCATAAAATTGTATATTTTAAACTTAGCTGTAAATGTTTTACCTTGATTTGCCTGTTTTTATCAGCCATTTCGCCCAAATAAAGTTCAAATACGGAAAATGTGCCCACTAAATTTAAATTATCTGATTGGTGTTGCCACAATACAGCTCTGCTGCGAGGTTACAAAATGTAGACGCTAAAAAACATACCTTCAAGCACGCCCGGACGCAAGGGGGAAAGGGGTCGTTTTACCATCATTTCGTTTAAGACAATAATTGTAAAAAAATATTTTAAAATCTCAAATATTTAAGATCTCTTTTCAGAGATAGTAGTCGAGAGATCTAGCTTTAATTTAAGCCAGGAAGGTAAGTTATATCACCTATATTTATATTTTTATTGAGCTTTGTACCACGATTGTTTATTAGGAAAACTTGAAAAAGCAACAAAGTCTAAGCGGTAGAAGTTATAGCTGCTATTTCGGAGATCACTACATCTCTTCATCAGACTTCTTTTTTCTAGACTTCAGCAGGGATTAAACCTGCGTAATCGATGTTCAAAGTCAGAAGCGTTAACCACTGAGCTATGTACATCCCGTAAACTCTTGTTGCTAATTCATTTTCCTTATTCAACCAACTACTATCAAGTGCAGGAGGTTCAATCCCTGCTGAAGTCTAGAAAAAAGAAGTCTGATGAAGAGATGTGGTGATCTCCGAAATAGATGCTATAACTTCTAGCGCTTAGACTTTGTTGCTTTTTCAATTTTTCCTAATAAACAATCGTGGTACAAAGCTCAATAAAAATATAAAAATTAAATTTTAATAAGCCACAATAACATTGACAAATATATCACCTATTGTTTCTTTGCTAGAGCTTCTAAAATATTGCCAAAACCGCGATTTTTTGACTTCGGTTTTTTTCAAAATCTGCATCTGATGGAAACTTTATGCTAACGGATTCGAAATCAGGGCTCGAATCGTCATATACGGGGGTTAAAACAACATCAAGTAGCATTAAAATAGTATATTAAATCTCCCACTGAATTATAGGCAATTTTGACCACTTTGTGAAAAATTTGATGAAATTGCTGAACTTTAGGGCTTTTCGAGGCCGGTCTTTACGTTGTTCGATTTAAAACAAATTTCGCAGGGTACCTTTTTATGAACAAAGGAAAATTTTTAGGGGCTTAAAAAATTTTCTCCATACAGCTAAGGCGCAGTCTAATGTGCAAGCATGGGCAGAGAACGAGCACACAATGGCCTAGCTTTTCTCAATATTCATCGTAATGTTGACTCAGTATTAAAAGAATTTGTATCTATACCTCGATGAATTGCATGTGACTTTTCTTTGAGTTTTGCTAAATTATATCCACAATTAAATACAACATGTTGAATACTTTAAATGTAACAATGATATTCTCGGTTGTTACGAATGACTTTACATAAAACCCCCAACAACAACTCCACAGATATTGTCCCAAATGTTGACGTCAACATTTTAAAACCCATTTTGGAACGAACCGTGAACACCCCAAAAGTACGGTAAAAAAAAATCAGGGAAATTGCGTTTACTGCGCCACAGTGAGTGGACCGCTCAGCTGTTGCAGGTTTGATGCCCCAGCTTGGTTATTTGGCAGCCAGTTTGGTGAACTTACTCCCCCGTACACAAGCCATGTTGCACAACGTGAGATTGTGAATGGATGCACGACATCGCTTTTAAATAAAAATATATATGTACATATGTATGTCTGTATGTACATATGTACTTACAAATGCACACAAGTCTGTGTGTTTATGGGCGATTTGATGGATGTTTCGAGTCATATGGTATTTGTTAACTTTGGTTAATGTAATCACAAAGCTGCAGTTATTCAATAACATACTACATACATATGTACATATGTATGTATGTAAGGCAAGGCATTTTGCCATATGCATCTATGTTATTGGTTTAGTGGAACACGATTTCATTAATGTGGCTGCCTTCGCAGTAGCGCATCCTTTTAACCCAGTTATCTTGTTTACCTTGGTGAAGGTTTCCGCCGCTATTTCGCGGATAACTTGCTCTATATTCATCTTATGCGCCTGAATTGATAATGGATTGATCGCATAACACGGTACTTCACGGCACCATGCAAAAAAGTATAACCGCATCTCCGAGGTGGCCAATTGAAATCGCCTAGACGGCTGATAACACGATTACCGAAATTGACGCGCATTAGATCGTTTGTGGCATGGACTGTGTGACATGGCTCGACATTCTACTGAAACCCAAGAGTCTTTTGTAGGCCTACACGCCCCTAGAAATGGGCGTTGCAGGTTCCGGACTAACGATAACAAGACGTCAGTTTTATTGTGAATTTCAGTGTAATATCGCTTCCATGGGTTGATTCAAAAAAAGTAAAATTGTCACCTTCGTTAAATTGATCCCTTCGTTAACAAAAATTGTTAAGTTTTTATAAAATAGAAGAATATTCTGGAAATAGGCCTGACAGTTTCCGGACCAAAGTTAAAAAGTGTACACTGAAATTCATAAAAAATAAAGAACACTTTAACTGCTTTATAAATCGAAAATTTTTATGAAAACGTCACTATATATAAAGCTCTTTAAACCTATTTGTTTATGAATAAGACCATTAGATTTTAGGGGTCTGCGAGCGTTTCAAAAGTGCCCGAAAACCAAAATTTTTTGTATATAGACTTTTTATTTTACTCCATATTACCCGCAGTGTTTGTTATCTTTGCCTAGACCGTGCAGCACGGGTTTTGACCTAACATCCCACTATATCATAAAGAAAGTCATGATTTAATTTAATATCTCCCTGAAATTGTGAAATGTCAAAACAAGTACGCGAACGCTAAATTGATTTTTGCTGATTGTTTATATACAAAAGCATAAAACCGAATATATGAAAATCGTTACCTTATTATAGAAAGGTCCGATCTAAAATGTTTATGTCTTTACAGAGTATTTACAAAACTTAATAAAAACTAAAGTTCTTAAGTTTGGATTTGTTGAAACTCCTGTGTTTTAATTAACACTCAGCTTAATTTATGGATGTACTAGTTGTTTTAAAATTCTATTAGGACTCAAGTGACCTTTGTTCAAAGCTGAATTTCGAAAGTAAATAAGTTAGGGCATTTCTAAATTAAGTCAACGGTAGGTAAATAAATAGTCTGTCTAAAGCTAAGCAAACGTAAAAAATAAGTATTTTCTTCCCAAAAATTTGGAATTAAAATAATTTAGTTTAAACTTAAAATCAGCAACATAAATTTCATTACTTTCATAAATTGTAGACTTTGAGCAGCTGCTTTTTCTGCTGACAAATTTTCAGACAAGAATTTGTATATTCTTTAACAAGTAAGCTGTCTCTTTTTTCTCTCAATTACCAAATCTTGATTATTTGAAATTATTGTCAATAATTATCGGGCTAACAAACAGACTAATAATAAAGGCACATACATACATATGTACACACAAACATATATGTATGTATACATAAATCCTAACCCTACAAGACATTGCTGAGCACTTTAGGCAAAAATTCTCACACATTTACACTTTTGTTTTTGTAGTACGGCATAAATGAGTAGTTTGACTATTAGTACTGAGGACTTTCTGATGACAACATTGAGGGGAAAGTACTCAATTTTTTCCCATGGCCTGAACGAAAATGAGGACTTTGATAAGCACTTTTGTGATTAGGGATAATGATAATATGAGTACTCATATGATACTCAGCTGTCTTGTAGGGTATGTTTACAGTTTTGCTCAAGCGCATAAACATTTTGCAAATGGAAATTGAACCAACACATATAGCCTTGGTCAATGCCGGTCTACAAAGAAACCTCTACATTAATTTGTTAATGTGCAAATCAACTAGTACGTTAATAGGGGTATTCATCTAAACACGTAAATGCCTCGCAGCCACGCAAACCTAGTAAACTTATTTAATTTTGTATGGAAAACCGGTTTATTTACGAGATTTGCACAATAACGACACATATAAGCGTTTAGATTAATATTCATAATATGCGCGCGGAATTGCTCTAAGTGCTGGTTTTCAATATGTCATAGCTTAACGACAAATTTTGTTGACATATTTTAACACAACTTGCACTCCTTCTCCTTGTAACCGCCTAAGCGGTTTTGGTCGAGTTCAACAAAGCCGCCAGTCATTTTTTTCTGTGCCAATTGACGCCAATTGGAAATGCCAAGTGAAGCCAAGTCCTTCTCCACCTGGTCTTTCCATATGAGTGGGGGCCACCCGCTTCCTCTGCTACCACCAGCGGGTTCCGAGTTGTATATACCTCTACCGATGAAATTATTTGCCAAAAATGGACAGATATCGGATTTAGCAACGCATGTGTACGCCTGAAGACATTTCTGATCAAAACCAATCGATATACCGATTTTTGGTCCCTTTTGACAAAGGGTTTTCACTTATTTGACGGCAGAGGTCATTGAGTTTAACTTAGTGAAAACAAGCCTTAAGCAGGGATCACACGATTTGTACATTTTGGCAATCACAGAGTGGTGTTGTTTAGAAATTTGAGTTCACATTAATACAAGAATTTCCAAACAACACCACTCTGTAACTGCCAAAATGTACAAATCATGTGATCTCTGCTTAAAGGCATATCTGTATAAGTATACCACTTAATGCACCGAAGGTATCTTACTAAGTAACACAGAGACATATATAGGTATGTACATCCCCTTAGATTATTTTTACAATTTCATTATTGATGTTATGCAAATAGGTATGCATGCAAGTGTGTAGATCTGTTCTTAACACCTGAAAACATTCGCTGCGCTTATTAAAGTATATAACTTTAATTGCTAACCACATAATACCAATCATTAATCGCCGACTCACCTTCTAGTGCTGATGCTTTGCTTCGCTACCTAACAAATAACCTCAGCACCTCTGCTCCTCAATTCACAAATGGCTTGTATTCTTTTGCAGCGCCGGTGGTATTGCTGTCTTGAAGTACGCCAGTAACAAAGTTAAAGGAAAAATTAAACACACGCGGTAAGTGCGGAACTGGTTGAAACCGCTTCAAACTGAAAATCACAATTATTTTTCGATACAGTATGTATAAATAAATGCATGTATGTACATATGTATGAACGAACAAAAGTATAATACAAATGAGGTATGGACAAGCACAAAATATGTCGAGTTTGGTTTCGAGTAATTTTTTTAATTTTTTGCTTTTATGTATTTTCTTCTTTTTAAATAAATTATATTCTTTTTCATTTTCTTATTGATGTCAATGATTAAGTGTAAAGTGGACCAAGAAAAACACTTTAACGATTTACTGCTATTTATAGTTATTTATGGTTTTACTTCAAATATTAAAATTTTTTGCTAATTTTATTTAATATGTAATTTAACTTAATTGGTTTAAGTAGTGACGTGCCATAGATATTACTTTATAACAAATATGTATATGCATATGCACATATATACTTATTTTTACAGTTATTAATTACTTTTATTACAATTCGCGTGTACTAATTTTTCATCATCACCTAACACTTTAACATTATACCGTTAACTGTGTACTACTAGATCCGGCTGCGAAACTCAACTGAGCGCAGTTTTTACTCAACCACCATTCTTATAGCCAACAAGGCGCCTCCATTCAGTTGAGGGTTCGATCAAGTCAATAGTAAGCGTGAAGCTCAGCCGGAGGGAATCAGGGCCGTCTTTACGCTCGTTAATGAAGGAAGCAAAGCAATCGAATAATGCTGTCGATAAGGCAGTTTTCAATTTCCGTCTGAAAGCTTTCCGTCGGAAACTTTTCTGTAAAGCTTGTGAAATGCGGTTTGAGGTAAACTGTGGTAGCAAACTGTACCAGGTGGACAATTAGTCCGTTCGAATACATCTCCAGTAAAAATATCCAGCATAAACTTGCAAGAGAGTAATGAACGATTGATTATCTCTCAATTTTGAAAATATCCAAAAAAGTACGCGAACGCAAAATTAGCAAAACCTTGCAAGTGGTTAGCACAGCTGATCGAATTTTTGTTCACATACAAAAGCATAAAACAGAACAGATGAAAAGATTATAAAATTAAAGTTTGCTTAAAGCGATTTGCTAAGCAAACGTAAGTAAATAACTGGGCTATTATTGCGGCAAATACGTCCCACATATCGCGCTGCGCCCGCAGCGTGGCCCTGTAGGCGGCATCTTTTTTCTCTGCAGCTTCCTGACACTCCTCAACGTACCAGTTGTTTTTCAGGCTCGGCGGCGGTACTTAATGAGCGGGAGATGTGGTTTCAATGCTCGCATATGTCGGTTTGTTGCAGACTGCTCTCTGAGAGCAGGTGTAGAGCGAGTAGCGAATGCATTGGCTGTCTGTGTGAGTGCAGCTTTTCGACGTAAACTTTCCTTGCATATTTGGGCGCACATTTTTTGCTGCACAGAGGCGGGTGTGTATTTTGGCTGCAACAAGATAGTGATCCGAGTCGATGTTTGGGCTTCGGAGTGTTCGTACGTCTAAAACACTGGAAGCATGCCTTCCGTCTATTCAACATGATCGATTTGGCTTCTCGTTTTTCGATCCAAATCTTGTTTATGCTTGAACCAAGTACTGCATACTGTCATGTTTGGGCCCCGGGGAAGTCGATCAGCCTCAGTCTGTTGTCGAACATTTCGTCGTGGAGGCTGAATTTTCCGACGGTGGTTCCAAAGATCCCTTCTTTGCCCACCGTGGCATTGAAATCGCCAAGCACGATTTTGATATTAATTTGTACGACGGATAATTTTGTGGAACCCCTTAACCCAAAAAAGTCTCCTATTTACAAGGGCTTTCCAGGACCAAATTATTCCACAAGACTGTTCTTAGAAAAATTTTCCAAAGCGTATCCAAACAATAAACTGTAGCACCCCCTGCCCCTACCTGGCTACGCCCATGAAAATCGGCATGCATTATCGTCTTGAAAAATGGGCGCAAATAAGTTTTTATGAAATTTTTTTGTACACTGCTCGTTTATGCCAAAATTTTATAATTTGAAAGAAGAGTAATGAAGAGTTTCTTACTATGAGATCCACCTCCTTCCAAAAATTTGTTGGCTCCACGTACCAAATTTTATGATTTTTGGGGAAAATTAACAGACACATTTATTTTATTTCTAAAGAAGTTTCTATTTCTTCCTTTTAAAAATGAGAAAACGAAAAGATTTGCAATACCTGTACACTAAATTATATACATGATATGTATTTGCACTGAAACTTTCATTGCCAACTACATTTTATACAACAAAAGCTGTGCTAAGGCAATCAGGACTTTTCCCATCGAAAACGGACCCCAACCAGAGACACGTTCACTTTTGGCTGAATCTGATTAATATATTAGTGAGTAATTAATATCTACACCCTCTTGCACTTTCATTTTATATGGCATATTATTTATTTTATGTACATATCAGAGACTTCCCCTAAAGCTCTAAAATAAAAATTTAATAAATTTCACAGGAATAATAACTGAACTCGCGAATCCTCGCTGCTGGAACTATTTTATACATGACACGCATATTTAATGTTACTTGACCTTATTATAAATTAGCTCGCTTCCTAGATCCTTTTTAAATATCACTTTTAAAGTAAGCACTCGGAAAATTTTGTACTCACAAAATTATGTAGAACATCAAGTGAAACTGTCTTATAAATTTCAATATATACTTACGTAAAAATTTAAAACAATGCGTGACCACAGATATATTAAAAAATTGGTCACCAATCAGATTGGCTTATTATATATCCGCTCAAGTAGAAACATTAATTTAAATAACTTGCGACAAAATCAAATCTGTTTTACAAATGTATTTTTTTTTTTATTGTATCTACTTCCCCTGACTGCAGGTATGCATTTTTATCAAAAATTCTTTTTGGTTTGGGTTACTTGGACATTTTTGCCATGAATCTGTGTAATTGCTTTTTTAGAATTCGCTAATCCGTTTTTACTAATCTTGGCTCTGTAGTCCCATTTTGCGGCGCACAGTGGCTTCTACCATGTTTTACGCGAAAAAGGCATATTTTAAAACTGTGATAAATTAACCGGAATAAAACTATTCTTATTCAGAAATGTCCAACGAGCTCAAAACTGATTAGTACACTCAGAAAAAAGCATTTCCTTAAACCTTTTGAGTTTTGTCAGTGCTGTTAAGACAAAGTTATTTGCTTTCCTGGAAAATGTCGGCTGTGGCGTCGGGTTAAGGCTACTGCTTCTGGTTCTGAGATGGCAGGTTCGAGTCCGGTGGTTAGGGTAAGGTGGGTCAATTATTTCAATTTAAATATAAATTACAAATTGTAAAATTAATTTCATATATGGAAACCTAAATACTCAAATACCTTAAAAAAATAAATAAGATAAATTTTTTTAAATACAATTTAAAAAAGTACAATTAAAAATAAAATAAAAATATTAAAAAAAAATCCTGCTCTGGAACTCGAACCTTGCATCTCTCGATTAGGACTCCAGAGCTTTGCTCTGTCGGCCATTGCCACTGTTTGAGCGCCAGTAGCAAAATGACACACTTATTCCTTTCACGGGTGATGAAAAGGCGTAATTTTTTTCCTAAAAACTAAGGAATTGTGTTTTCCTTAAACTGAGTCACAACGTTTACTTATATTAAGGTAGCCATCTCATTGCAGCCATTTCAAGGTAATATTTCCTTAGAATAATATACTTTTTTTCTAGCATCAAGTGTTTTCTGAATGTATATTCAATAATATCTGCAGAGCAAGCCGGTGAATCCGCTTAATTCAACGAATTCGTTCGTTCTAACAGCTATGAGTTGATAGCTTTTTTTGAAAAATCTTTTTATGGAAGCTTTCAATTATAACAGTAAATGCTGGTTTGATGTTACTCCTTAGACATGGAAAATTATGATACCATATAAAATATTACATAATAAACATTTTTTGCTAAATTATCAACGGCTTATTTTTCAATAAATATTTTCTTCAGAAAGGTGCAACTAATGGGTGAAGCTGAGTAGGGTCTTCATTCCTTTACCAAAAACTAATACAAAGGGCCCTTCAAGGATCTAGGAAAAGAAAAGCGCCAATAAGGGTGGCGGCCATTTTTGTTTCACCAGACCAACTTTAGCAGTTATTATAAATAAAATAAAGTGTATTAAAATATTTAAGATTAATGTAATTTGTTCGATATTTAGCATCATATCATTAGATCTGCCTTAACACAGCTGAAGTCAATTTTCAAAAATCCAATATGGTGTCCAAGAATTTAAAAAAATTACTGAATTTTCATGAAATATGGTATTTTCAGGTTCTTAAGTTCGCTCATTACAAATTTCAAACTAGTTTTTGAAAATTCAAAATGCAAAATCCAATATGGCGTCCGAAATTTACAAAAATTCTAACCTGATTAACTTTATTTAAAAATGAGAAAACTTAAGTTTCGGAGCTGACGTATAAAATAAAGCTATGTTAAAAGAAATGTTTGCGGCCTAGATGGAATAGTTTGAGTTGAACATTTAGCAGACGGCCCCAACTGTCGCTAATTTATAAATATTGTTACTGTTATTATTTCATAATTTGATCATAAATTCATTTTAGATATGTTCCCTCGTATATAATAAATAAAATTTTGCTAAACAAACATATTGTGTTACTCAACTGAAAATGACAGTTGATTTGACCGTTGTCAACCGAAAAAGTTTGAATGTGATACAGAACTGGAGATCAGTGAGCCTTAAAATATAATACCTTTAGGCAGTGTGATGTGGCTTATTCACATTTAATTTTAATATTTTTATTGAGCTTTGTACCACGATTTTGTTTATTATGAAAAATGGAAAAAGCAACAAGGTCTAAGCGGTAGAAGCAGGGTTTGAAAAACTGTCAGCACAGCAGCAGACACCATATTTTTGCTTTTGCTTCGCTTTGAAATATTCGATTTTCATTCGAACGGCTTCACTTTTGCTGTGATTTTTAAAATTGTATTCTTTTTTCGGCAGTTTATTGAAAAAAATTTGTTGCTTTCGATTTACTGTGATTGTGCTGTGCTTTTGCTGTGCTGTGATCTGCTTGACTGTACTGTGCACATGAAGTTTTACAGCATGGTGTATTATCTACATATATACATAAACAAAATGTATATGATTTAGCTGACTCGCCAGGAGTGAGTACTAGCTACAAATTTGCGATACCATTTCCTTTGCCTAACGAATTTAACATGGCATGATCTTTCGCCAGCGAGTTACCGTACTATCAGTTATATATGGAATCTTTAGATTATGATCGTCTTTTGCCACCAGTAGAACTACAGGGTAGTGTATTTGTGCATGCATACATATAACATCTTCTATTACTGCTAATTTGATGCATCGCAGCTAAGTTATAGCCAAATTTCTATTGCTTTGTATTGCTTCTCTGGCATTGTGCTTCCACAAATCACTTTTGAACTGTCTGATGGCTTCCGAAATTTCACAGCAAAATTGCAGCCAAAGCATTTCCTTTTTTTCTGAATTGCTGTTTCTTGGTTTCGATATCATAAATCCCGAAGTCAAAGCAGAGCAAAAGCAAATTGAATTAAAAAATTACAGCATTTTCAAACCCTGGGTAGAAGTTATAGCAGCTATTTCAGAGATC